CGTTCTTATACATTGGAATTAATCCTCAATACATAGGATAACAACAGAGGATGTGATAAGTGTGTTAATGCTATATTCCAACATTTGAGTTAGCTATAAGTTTGTTTTTTATATAGATAAGTTTAATCATATAATGTTTAGCTCATTATAAATGTTAAGTCCAATCATGACGCTTTGAATTTTTTCACCTCGCTGAATTGGTGACTTGTGTGTGTTAGTGTCATGATACGTTCTGTTATCCAAAGTCTCCGGGCTAGGTTTGCTTCTTTTTTTTTCCTCTCACGTTTTAACCAGGTCTAAACTGGTTGCTGGCTTATAATGCTGTAATTTTACTTGTAGGAATACAGTGTCCAGCTGACCTTCCGAGAACAGTGGCGAGACGAGAGGCTACAATTCGACGACATGAATGGTGAGATGGCCTATTTAACCTTAACCGATCCAAATAAGATCTGGAAACCCGATCTTTTCTTTTCCAATGAGAAAGAAGGACATTTTCATGATATCATCATGCCTAATGTGTTGCTTCGAATTTATCCAAATGGGGAAGTACTATACAGTATAAGGTATTGGACCTCCCTTGAACTTAGACTTCGAGATTAAACAATTTTCGGAATACTAAGTTTATTTATCATATCAGTTAAATATATTTTTAATATGACATTATTTTTTAGTTACAAATTGCCAGCTTTATCGCAACTTAGAAATGTTTTCAATTATGTCTTATAAATAAATAGTTTATTCAACTAAAACATTAAACTTTACACATGGTAAAAATGTCAATAGTTTGGTTTAATAACAAGAATTGATGACATAATTACACAAGCCTGCGAATTTAAACTTCATAAAAGTTGTTTAGGTTTTAATAACGGATTTTCCATAATTCAGCTTCGCAGATTTCGAAAACAACACTCTCTTTTTTTTCTATCGCTTGCAGATTTTATTTACAAATCGAGAAGAAAATAAACACTCTTACTTAGATCAAATTATTATTTCGTTTACCACAATGACCATGTTTAATTATTATGTTTGTTAACAAAAATACAAACAAACTGAAGAAAAGGGAAGAACGTTGATGTCAAACGAATATACATCCTCATTCATCCTGATGTTTTTGTGAAGTCTACGTCTTTTAGTCTCAAAACTACGTGTTGTGGTCTTTTTGTGTGTGTGTATTGCGTTATGACGTTTTGTGAAAAATCTATACGTAATGTAGAAAAATGGATATCATTTTCGGATTCAGCGTACAGGAATTACTATAGAACATGTAAAAATTTCAAGACAATAAAACCATCGCAGGCCTGTGTTATTAAACGCATACTTATAACGATTTTGACCATTTTAGGGGGGGGGGATATTCTCACTATAGTATATGCGCTGATAGTCAAAACCTTGATTTATTAGACTCACTCTGAACTCGTTTTGTGTTTCCTTTGAGTCCCCTCAACGAAAAGCCTTTTAAACAGGAAATTTAATTGATTAATTTTAATTGAACGCCACGGCAGCAGAGAAATCGTTGACGATAAAATGTTAGTGAGAATTATATTGAGTGTTATAGATTTCAAAGTGTTACTATGACTTAAGTATTGATGAGAGGCTAGTTTTATCACACAGCACATGTATAGGAGGACATTGTAGAATCTGTATTTCAATTGTGTGAAGAATCAGAATATACTTTATTTTGTAAGCTAGACTGTGTTTCTAAGATTTGATGTGTTACGCTTGCATTCCTAACAAACTAATTATTTTTCTTTTTGTCCTTTCAAAGAATCTCCTTGGTTTTATCCTGTCCGATGGACTTAAAATATTATCCTCTGGACAAACAGACTTGTTCAATCATCATGGCTAGCTGTAAGTACATCTTTTAATTTCAATTTATATACATATATATATATATATATATATACCTAATGCTATGAAACACATTCATTGTTCATAGGGGATTAAAATCAGCACTATAAAATAATAATAAACTTAATGTAAAGCCAAAAACAATATAATAAAATTGAAATTCAAAATTATGCCTCCGTTATCATTCCTTGCTATCATCTCTAAGTCATAGAAGATAATGCCTGTGGTCAAAGCATCCAAATGCATTGGGGATATTCCATCTATCAGGAAAAAACCAAATGCCGATGTAAAACTCGCCAGCAACTAAGGAGAATCAGTTAAGGGTTAGGAGTTGAGTGCTTGGACCCCCAACGTCTCAACTCCAACTGCCTTTCGCTGTCTGCAGCCAGTTGTGGGAAGGTAGTTACCCTTAATATTTAGAAATAGCTTTAATGTCGAATTACACCAACCCCAAAAAATTCTACAAAATAAATCTCCCAACCTTCACCCTTTTATTCGATATTATGAAAAATAATAATGATATTATTATTGAAGAAATGAGCCACCATAAATTTCTAAAAAAATTTGTTTTATAGATTTTATAGATTTTTGAGCCCCATGTGATATCGAGAACCTGAATTGCTCTCGAGTTTAGCTGAATTTGCATTGGTTTCTAGAGTCTAGACTATAAGGGAGTAAAACCCATACCGAAAACCACTATACTCCTCTGTAGCCCACCAATCCCCCCCCCTCCCGTATTCAGTCTCATCGACTCGCAGACTGGGTGTTAAGAGTGAGTTTAACCTTTATTAGTTTGCGATGTGCGTAAATTAATCCTTAACTGTAACGGGTTCGAAGCCCGACTAGCATACTTAAGACCTCGAATGTCGCAGGTCAATAAGTCAATCACACTTCGTAATTTACAAATGAATATTTTATGATGTAAAAAAAACTTATATTCCGATAGAGCGGACAAGTTCCATATCTTGAATTTTGGAGGTAAATTTTACATAATTACAAATAGTAAATTTAAGCTTCCTAGCCACCAAGTTAATTTTAGATAGTAAGACACAGAGTTGAAAATTCAGTCCCTCATCGTCATACGATGGGTGAGTAAAACAACAAAATTTAACTACGACTTGGTTGTATCATATACATGAGAGAGGACTATCAGCGTAACATAATATTGATGATAATGTATTTCTCTCCAAATCTAGTATTTTCATGTAAGTTCAACGAAACTGAGATTAACCCAGTTGCTTGAAATTTGTCTTTCTTGGCTCGGTTTCTTCTATTGAAAGTATAGAGATCCCTAAGAATTAAGAAATGAACAAGCTACTAACATTTCCATATTTAAATTTATCTTGAAACAATAATGCCTTCTTTTTAAGATTACACTCATAGAGAGAAACCCTCTTAAATCTGTGTTTATTTCCAGCTCGGTAAGTCGAGCGCTACAATCGGGTTTCAATACTCGCGGTGGGCAGAGCACAGACAACCCATTCTGTAGCTTTGTGTTTAACAACAACGAACCCAACTCGAAATAAAAACCGTTAATAAACAGCTGGTGCTTTTTTTTTTTTTTTGATAAAGTGGAAATTCCTACAGTAAACCTACCTATTAAGAACTTGGGTTATGAAAAACATTGTTTAGATTTTTAGATATTTCTTTATCAGCTATTTATTTATTTTCGTTTTAGAGAATTTCTGAGCTAGCGGTCAGTGTCAGGTCGTGAATGTGAACGGCCAAGGTTCGAGGCTGGACATTCCGCTCACATTTTCTGCACTCTCAGCTAGAGGGCGCATTATAACAGTGACAGTCAATCCCGCTATTCAGTTACAAGGGGGCGTGAAGGCAGTGAGTGCCACTGAAATGTTTGTTTCCCTAGCACTGATCAGTAGTTCAAGGCTAGGTTTATGTTTGAACCTTAGTGTCTCTGTTATGAACGTTTAGACAACCTGTCACACAAAAATTCCGTTCAAGTTCAAAATACTTCTTTATTTTTAAGCACAAAGCCACACAATGAGATATGTGTGTGCTGTACCAACTGTGAGTATCGAGACCTGATTTTTGGTGTTATAATCTCTCAGACTTACCGCTGAGTCGCAGGAAAATACCATAATTATTAAGGGTTACGTTAAATTAAGTATTTGTAGGCTTGAGATATATTTTTATTTTTAGAAGTGATTCCGTTTCTATTTAACCATAGTTTTATCAGTTTATCGTGTCATAATTCGAACACTATTTAACTTTAAATTATTTTATTTTTATGCAATAGTTTTTACTGTTTATAAAAGTAATTTTAATTTTATAGTAAAATGAAAAAAATCATCTACCTTGTTTTTCAAGCATGAACGTAAGTTATTCATGTTTAAACACAAAACATAATCATTCCTGGAGCTTTCCCATCATTCACCAAATAAAATTAAATAAATCTTGTTTTAGTAATATATAATCATGACATTGTATTGTAGAAATTTCTCCAACTGTGTTTGACCCTAATGTCCCCTGTTAAAATCAGGGGTTCGATTCCCCTCAGTGGAGATTTAATAATAGAAAAAAAGAAGGAGGAGGAACATTATCTAACATTATCATTTATACAGTTTTTGCATCCTTAACGAGTGTCTTGAGCTAGTGAAAATATTTTTAGGGTTTTAGTGCCTGTTTGTCTCATTAATTTTTCAAAGCATATTCCTTCATAAATTCTAGGTTAATTCATGCGGAAACTTGAAACACTGTGTACAGAGATATTATGAAAAAATGTAGAAACAGAAAAAAAAAGCTAAGAAACAAAATAAATCCTTTAATATCAAGCTACAGACTATTAGAATGAGCGTACAGTCTACTCATTTATTATAACTGTTGTTATTAAATAAATCATTAACACTCGAGTTAGCGTATAAAAGTAACGACTCTGTTAAACCATGTGAGTATATAATGGCTGGAGACGGCTTGAATGGGTAATGAAGAAAAACTTTAATATAAGTTTAACATGACAGCAAATGTACAAGGTTTTGTCATCATCAAAACCTTGTCGAAACGTTGTACATTTGCTGTTATGTTAAACTTATATTAAAGTTTTTTCATTACCCATTCAAGCCGTCTCCAGCCATTATTAGTCTCAAAGTGGGTTCCTAGTCACCGAATTTGAATTCATCATGTGAGTATATATTTATATTTTTTCACTAGTAATGAAACTGTTTATCAGAAAATTATAGTACGAGATGAAATTGACGAAAATAAAGAAACACGAAGCGAGACGCAAAATATTCGCATGTTTTAAGAACTCTTAAGGAAAATCTTTTTCCTCATATTCATGTTTTTGTGACTGTCACATTTGTTTATGATCATATTTTGTGACTGTCACATTTGTTTATTATCATTTTTTCGTGACTGTCACATTTGTTTATTATCATGTTTTCATAACTGTCACATTTGTTTATGATCATGTTTTCGTGACAGACACATTTGTTTATGATCATGTTTTCGTGACAGACACAATTGTTTATGATCACGTTTTTGTGAGTAACGCAGTTGTTTATGATCACGTTTTTGTAAGTAACACAGTTGTTTATGATCACGTTTTTGTAAGTAACACAGTTGTTTATGATCACGTTATTGTAAGTAACACAGTTGTTTATGATCACGTTATTGTAAGTAACACAGTTGTTTGTGATACATAATAACAGAGTACATAACTTTCAACTATATATATATACATATATATATATACATTCTATGGTAATGTCTAAAAAAATTAATGAACTGCAAAATTAACTTTTTCTTCAAAAACCTTTAAAGGAATAATTTAGAATGTTATTATTAAATGTCAAGGATTTTAATACTTCTAATTCGACAGGAAAATCATCATATGCAGGCAGTTTAGCAGAATCTTCAAAATTTACATAGCTCAAAAAGATTGTAATTATATAGAGTAATTGATAATCTCCAGCTTTTAAACATTGGGAATATTTTGCATATTACATCTATAAAAGTTCTGAAACCCCTTACTTCGAATGCTTGTAAAGAAGCTACAGTATAATATAATACTAAACTGCTTTCCAAAGATGGTTAAATTAATAAGTCAGGCTGTAACTTACTGTCTGTAGAATAGTAAGATCAAACTCAAGTGGTGACGTTCTCTAGTGGCAAAACGAACCTATACACAGAATATATTATTCTTCATTAAGTGTCCCCCGGTGGGACACTAGTAAATTTGCGGACTTACAACGCTAGAATCCAGTGTTCGATTCTCCGCAGTGGACACAGCAGATAGCCCAATGTTGCTTTGCCATAAAATCAAAAACACACACTTTGTTAAGTATATTTCAACTTTGGAATTTTTGTATTATGCAATCATATTAATCGCAAGTTAAAGGAGGCACCAATTGAGTTATGTATTTAATGGCAATAACCTGGAATTTATCAGAAGAACTTTCTTAGTTTTTATAATTATATCTGCGTTCCATGCATTTATGTATTAAACCCAACTATTATTTATCCAAGAGTTTTGTTTGTAATTAAGCACAAAGCTACACAATGGGCTATCTGTGCTCTGCCCACCACGGGTATCGAAACCCGGATTCTAGCGTTGTAAGCCCGCAGACATACCGCTGTGCCACTGGGGGGCATTATCCAAGAGAGGTATTAAGTTACCCAGTTTATATCAATAGTGTACTTCAGTTTTAACTCAATTATTTTCGTCGTATACCATATATCCAACATACAAAAATGTTTTTAAACAAAATAATAAAAGCAACTGTAAAAGTAAGGCTACCTTGTAAGAAACATTGAACTAAAGACAACAGGATTTATTTAACAAACATTTTTTGTAAATCTACAAGAATCATTAGTCAGTTTCAAGACATAGTAGGTGACGATTTCAAGGTGTATGTGTGTTTGTTTTTTCCTGAGAGAACAATAAATCAACTCGCTACTGCGTATTTTGTAAAGAAATCTCCGTTAAGGTTTTTAAAGAACCAGTTATTAAGAATGGGAGCTATTTTGACAATGAAACTATT